AAGTGCAAGTAGATAAATAGGTATCACTCTGGCAGGAAGGTAAAAGGCGTTTCCATGCACTGCTCTGGTTCACCAGAAGTGTCTTAGTCATGCTGGCCACATGACCCGGAAGCTGTACGCTGGCTCCCTTGGCCAGTAAAGCGAGATGAGTGCTGCAACCCCAGAGTCGTCCACGACTGGACCTAATGGTCAGAGGTCCCCTTACCTTTATGATGGTGGTAAACCTGCCCACATTACATAAATGCAGTGATTTATTTTTTTCTGGGGGGACACAGGGGTACACATACCCCTAAACATTTTGTGAATCTAAGTTTGGCCTCATTGAGGGGCAGTATTTCAATATGATTAGGAAAATGAGAGTACCCCTGAACAAGAAAAAGAAAGCACTGCATAAATGATATCATTTTTCTGCTCTTAAAAATGTGATATCCAGCCACCATTTCTGGTCTGTGAGATGCCATGCCACCAGTAAAGGCAAAAGGTAAAGGACCCCTGGATGGTTAAGTCCATTCAAAGGCAACTATGGGGTTGTGGTGCTCATCTTGCTTTCAGGCCAAGGGAGCGTCTGTCCACAGACAGTTTTCTGAGTCATGTGGCCAGCATGACTAAACCGCTTCTGGCGCAACAGAACACAATGACAGAAACCAGAGCGCATGGAAACGCCATTTACCTTCCCGCCACAGTGGTACCTATTTATCTACTTGCACTGGCATGCTTTCGAACTGCTAGGCTGGCAGGAGCTGGGACAGAGCAATGGGAGCTCACACAGTCACGGGGATTCGAACCGCTGACCTTCCAATCGGCAAGCCCAAGAGGCTCAGTGGGAGTACCAGGGTGCTATGCTCTCCACTGCAAAACTTGTGATCTCAGTCTTCAACCCATATCTTTTCAAAGTTGCACTCGCCACAGCACTTTGATTAAACAAACGCATTTTAAGGTACCGTCATTCCAATAAAAATCTGGATGTTTCGTGCATTAGATATGACATGAGCCATGTTCACAACTGAAAGAAAGAAAGCCGGGGGAAACCTTTTTTTAGTGTCACTTGTGAAAGCAGTCTCAAGCTGTGTTTAGACAATAATTTTGGTAAAGCAAATCAGTTTCCTATTAGCTTGAACTACAAATTGGTTGAGGACAATTTTATTCAGCAAGGGTAGATTTTAATTGCCCGAACTGTGAACACACTATCTCGTTGTTTTTGCAGCTAATTTTGCTCTGGTATACAACTGTATTATGGGATGAAAAAGAAATATTAACGATTATCTTTCCTTCTAAAAGTGAGTAGTAGCTGTTGCTCAACAAATTGTAAGTTATCTTATACTTCCTTCAATAACATATAAAACATGCATACTGTTTGTGTACAAGCTATTTTTTGTTTTCAGGCTTGAATAAAAATAATCTGTGACTGTTTATTCTACATTGCTTCCTAAGAAGAAAAGGGGACATTCTTGTCAACACCCATTTTTATTTTTGTACCAAGGCCCCAGATCTCATACATCATTGCATATTGCTGAATGTTTTTTGCAGCCCACTGGGCATCTTTTTTAAAAATACCCAGCTAGAGTAGATCCATTGAAGTTAACGGACCTGAGTCATGTTCAGTAATTTAAGAGATTCTACTCTGAGTAGGGCTAACACTGATTACAACTGCTTTTATTTAGCTTTGTTGAAGATGCATGTTAGGAAGTACAGTTTAACACAAGGAAAAACAATGCACCAAATAAACTCTGATGTCAAGAAAGACATCAAGAACATGCTAATCTAACTGGCAACATACACAAATGTGTAACGGATTAATTATACATTAATTTCTGTCAGTCAACACCCACTGCCCCCCTAGCCTCTGGGGTTTATGAACCAAGTTGCACAAACTTTACCACTAATTAAGGTTTATGTATATTGTATTCTTATTCATAAAAAAACTTCACATGCCTCTCTATGTGTGTGGAACTATGTATTGTAAAGGTACGGTATATATAGCCCAATATTAGTGGCATCCCTATTCTGCTACGTCAGTGACAAACCATTACCTCTCACAAATTTGCCACCCAGTTCTTAAACCTGGAAAAGATACAAACATCTGCTTACCCAAATGCCAACAATTTTGGATGCCAGGAACGTGCAGAACAGTAAATTTGAAAACTTTTCTATTCCACCTGGATTATACAGGCAATTAAATATATATATTTCCATAATATTTAGTTGGTGGTCTCTGGCTTTAATTTTTTTAATGTATGTTATTATGATATTATTGTAAACTGCTTTGATATTTTTATGAAACAGCATAATAACATTTTAATTAATAAATAGATTTCTACACAAGTACAGGAGATAGCCCCTGTAAATTCTGTACAAAAGCACAAAATCCATGGTCTTTATCAATTATATGCTTTTCAAAAACTCTTTGCAGCTTCCTACCACCAGGACCCACAATTCTGGGGACCTTGGGCACTACCACCACATTTGGAAGAATTGTGCCCACTTGTCCACACTGTTCCCAACATTTTGGACTGCTTTCAACTGCAGTGCCTACTCATTACCCTATTAGCATATTGGTGCATGCGGTTAATTTAAATGCTGAGACACAAATCTTCCCCCTTTCAATTTTCTCTTCCAGGTCAGATTCCAATATGGACGAGAGCATATTGGGTAAAATAATTGGGTAAAAGTTCCTGAGTGGTATAGGATTCCATGCAACTTGGATTTTGATGGGGAGCATTGTTATCAGAAAGGGCTTTGATTGGAAATATTGATAAACTTCTTTTTTTTTATGAACTGAAGTATTTGTCATATTTACCAAATTCCTCCTGCAAACCTCAGATTCCCAAAGATTGATATGGTGCCTCAGACTTTAGTGCAGCTGGGAAGAAATTAAACTGTTTTGGCTATTTTATGTTCTGCTTTGGGGCAAGAAATCCATATCCGACATAGAAATTCATACCCAGCATAGATCAATGTTGGGCTATCTACTTTTCTTCTTCTTCTTCTTCTTCTTCTTCTTCTTCTTCTTCTTCTTCTTCTTCTTCTCCGGCGATCACTCACAGACGAGTAAGATTGTCTTCCATAAACATGGTTTTAACAATGAGTCCATAAGTGACTATATGCCTGGCTATAAAGCAAATATGGAAGAACAGACCCAAAACACATTCAAAATATTGCACAAACCAACACCATAGTGAACTAACAAGAGGGACATCAGCACTGACAAGGCTGAAATCATCACGCTATCCAGCTGTCTTTTTCTATCTCTTTTCCCCAGAAGAAAAGTGAAGCACTTGCAAAGGTTGTGATTGTAGAGAGAACACCATTGGAAAGGTTGAAAGAGACCAAACATACATGACCTTCTGGACATCCACCCTAATGCAATGCAGCTGTCATGAACAATAGCTAGTTCTGCACTCTTCCTGCCACCACCAAAACTGAATCTTAACACATACTTCAGCTGTAATAAAAAACCAGGCACCATTTGAGTCTATACTCCTGCAGTGGGGATGAAAAGTCTGGATCCATACTGAATCCACAGACCTTTTCTGTGGTGACTCCCTGTTTGTGGAATGCTCTCCCCAGAGAGGCTCGCCTGGCATCGCCATTACAACTTATAGAATCATAGAGTTGGAGGGGACCCCAAGAGTTATCTAGTCCTATTCCCTGCAATGCAGGAATCTCAGCTAAAGCATCCATGGCAGATGGCCATCTGCTTAAAAACATCCAAGGAAGGGCAGTCCACAAGCTCCCAGGCAGAAACATTCCTCTTTAACCAAGCCTTTGGCCAGGGCCATCTTTAGCATATGCACTGCCAGGGTGCAAAGATCCACCCAGCGCCCCCAAATTTAGTTAATTTTGCTTGCACGGTGCCATTGAGAATGACAAGTGTCGAAAAGTCCTTTAGTGAAACAGTAGGTAAACATTTGGGTAATACCTAGGTATATATGCATTTTGTTTTTCTAGCTTGATCAAAATTATTTATTATTTCATAACAGGTAGATAGATGACTTCAGCGGTGGGCGCCAGGTGCCCCCCAGAAGTCAGCACCCGGGTGCTCCACACCCCTTGCACCTCCGGGTAAAGACGGCCCTGCCTTTGGCCATTAAACAATCTATGGCCTTTTAAAAGGGAGGTACTGTCGTTACTTTCCCTCCATGATTGTTTTATTGTTTGTTATTATTATGCTATATAAATTATGTTTGTAATGTTGTACACCACCCTGGGATTTTTGGATAAAGGGTGGAATATACAGTGGTACCTCGGGGTACAGACACTTCAGGTTACAGACTCCACTAACCCAGAAATAGTACCTCAGGTTAAGAACTTTGCTTCAGGATGAGAACAGTAATTGCGCAGCGCCAGCGCCAGCGGGAGGCCCCATTAGCTAAAGTGGTACTTCAGGTTAAGAACAGTTTCAGGTTAAGAACAGACCTCCAGAACGAATTAAGTTCTTAACCTGAGGTACCACTGTAAATTGTTATAACAGCAACAACAATTTGCAGCAGTAATCCGGTATGTTTATTTGTCCACTCTATTGGACTGATGTCTGTCTCTCTTGCGTCTTGCTTTTTGGGCCTTGAATGTCTGCTACCCACAAACTGCACCTTTAGTTTGGTGGGCCCTGCCCTGTGAAACTCCCTGACAGCAGAGGTTTGGCAGAAACTATCCCTCCCTCTTTTCAGACATCTTTTGCAAGCAATATTGTTTAGGCAGGGCTTTGCAGTATGAACTTTCTCTTTTCAGCCAGTCTGAATTTACTGGTGTGTTTTTTTTTCATTGTGTTTCAAGCTGATTTCATTCTTAGACATTGTACACTGCCTTGATATATTTTTAAATGAAAGTGTGGATTATAAATACATAAGTAAATAATTAGTTAAATTTCTCCAGAGACTTCCTGTACAGATGCTATCCTCCTCTTCTGGCATAAGAACACAGCAAGCTGTCTTATACAGGATCAGGCCATTGGTCCATCCAACTGTGTTGGGCTTCAGAGAGGGGTCTCTTCCATCCTCACCCGGAAACGCCAGGGATCGAGCCTGGAACCTTCTGCATGCAAAATTGATGCTCTGCCACCGAGCTATAACTTCCCTCTAGGTTTGGAACAGTCCATTCCAGCTCCTTATGTAGTTGGCAGCCTTCCTTCCAAAGTGTTTATTTGCCAGGTGTTTCAGTCTTCTAAAACTAGCAATTTAAACAGGAAACCCTGAGCACTCCTTAGATCAGCCTCCCAAAGAGAGTCAGTAATTGGGCGAAACATTGCCCTCTACCTTAAAGTCTCTGCAGAGAGTTCCTGGAAAATTAGAATTTTTGAGCCTTGATATCCCATATGCCAGCTATTTTGTGTGTGTGTGTATGTTTGTAATCCTTGATCTTAGGGGGAAAACAATTTCTTGCAATGATGTATTTTAGTTTTCCCAGTCTGTTAATAGCAGGCAGCAATCACTAATGGGTCTGGATCAATATCAGGAATTTTTTTCAATAGCCAGTTTCAACAGCAACAACAACAGCCACTTAAATAGCCAGTATTTCCTCTTCAATGAATTCTGCAGATCAATGATTTTATTCTGGAGTTCTTTGACAGCAGAATGTTCTACAGCCATTTCTGCTTTGAGGAACGAGAAGGTTTTCATCTGCTGGTGGAAAGACAACTAGGCGGGAGCCAGTCTAGCTCCTCGAGGAAGAGAGTTCCAAAGTTGTCTGGGAGCAGCCACTACCAAGAAGGCCCCGTCCTGTGTCCCCACCAAGCATGTCTGTGAGCCTGGCAGGACAGAGAGAAGGGAGATCCTGAAGATCTCAAAACGCGTGCTGGTTTCCATGAGGGTATACACTCTTTCAGATAGCTTGGACCCAAGGCGTGTAGAGCTTCATAGCTCATATCAGCACTTTGAATTGTGCACAGAAACAGACCAGTAGCCAAAGGAGCTATTGTAACCAGGGAGTCGTGTGCTCCCCATAACCAGCCCTAGTCAGCAATCTGGCTGCAGCTCTTTGGGCCAGTAGGATTTTCTGAGCACTTTCAAAGGCAGCCCCACGTAGAGCACATTACAGGTGTGTGTCACTTGTTGCTTATCAGTGTTTATTTTGCTTATATTATTTTTGATATTCCTTATTTATTGTAATGCATTTTTTTCCTCTCTCATCTTTTTTTATTCAATTTTACACTAAATATTTAAATTCAAGCATTAAACATAATGATTAACATTTAGGATTTCCTGAATTCTTGGACTTCCCTTCACCCTTCCGTGATTAACATTTTCAATCTTTTGCAACTGCATCATATATTTTCTCTATTTTTCTTAAAATAGCCCAGTTTTATCTTTACAAGCCTTACTCACAGCCTGCCAAAGTTGTTAGTTGTTTACAGTGTTCTCTTAGGTAATTTGTAAATTTCTCCTGTTCCTTATTCAAGTTCCTCTCTTCCTGGTTTCTGGTTTCCCCGGTCATTTTCGCCATTTTGGCGTAGTCCATCATCTTCATCAGCCATTCATCTCTGGTCAGGACTTTATCTTCTTTCCATCTCTATTGTAATACATTTCTACCCTGCCTTTCTTCCATCATGGAACCCAAGATTATGTGGTTCACTCGTTGAGGTATGACCAGACCCTGCCTTGCCTAGCTTCAGTAAGGAGATGACCTCAGACCAGACCTCTTGGACCTCCCCCCTGGGACTAGGAAACATTTGCATGTTCAGACCCAGAAACCTCCCCCCTAAATAAATTCACACTTGACTCAAATTTTGGTTTGGCAGAATTTAGGCCACAACTTTATTGATTACAGAAAGTGATTGGTTGCATAGGCTCTGGTTCAACTAGCTCCCTGCCATGCAGGTAGCGCTGACCCAAGGTTCCAGCATAGGTCAGCCTAGGGTGAACACCTGGATAAGCGGAAAGCCAGGAATAGGCTATCTCCATCACCCAAATGTCCCCCTGGACTCAGGCACGGGCACAACCTCCTCACAGGGTTGACCAAACCATCGAGTCCCTGGATTCCTTTAATGGAATACTCTTCACATAGGGATGGCGAGACCATTCTCCCATCCCTATCACCTGAACCAGTGCCTATCCACAACCTTACAAGTTGTGACGATTTGCTACGCAGCAGGCAAAACCCAAATGGCAACAGCTAATCAGCCAAGTGAGGAAAATTCCTGCCGTGCCCCTGTCCCAACAGCAGACGACACACAACGGCATAGCAAGGTCAAGCGCAAAACCCTAAAAGTAGGGAGAGGTGGGCTGGTGTTCCGAATGCACGTGCCAAAAGAGGAAGCGCTGGGTCATGTGCATGGGCATAAATAGATCCCTTGAACCGTTTAGACGGCGTCCCATTGGCCAGATTGCACCCAGCTACAAGGGACCTACCAATCAGGTGTTGCGGCTGACCAATCGTACCCACCCACAACACAGGGTATTGGTTTCCAGGTCTCACCGCAATACATGCCCTCTTTAAGGGAGGTCCCGATTTCTCCAGAACTCTGCAGCCTCCTCAGCTGCCTGCGTTTCCTGGTCCGAAAAAAGCCCTGTGGGAGGAGTTACAGCCCCACATAGAGTGTAATCCAGGCTTCCTCAAACTCGGCCCGCCAGATGTTTTTGGCCTACAACTCCCATGATCCCTAGCTAGCAGGACCAGTGGTCAGGGATGATGGGAATTGTAGTCTCAAAAACATCTGGAGGGCCGAGGTTGAGGAAGCCTGGCGTAATTCATGCAGGATATTACTAAAGCATGTGCCACTGTGGCCAAATCAGACATCTCAAAATGTGCTCAGTTTTTACTGGATTTATCCTTTATATAAGCAGTGCTTTTTTTCTAAAATAATGTTTGGGATACTCTCATTTTCCTACTCATATTGAAATACTGCCGCTCAATGAGGCCAAACTTAGATTCACAAAATGTTTAGGGGTATGCGTACCCCTGCGTACCCCCAGAAAAAAAGCACTGGATATAAGCATGCAATTTATTAAAACATCTAAAAGTAGACTAGGCACACTGCAAAAAATAAGAATGGGCTGTCCCTACCCAAAGGTTTTAATCTTCAAAATTCTAGGAAAGGGCCAGTGCTTTTTTCCTTTAAAAAATGTTTAGGGGTACTCTCACTTTCCTACTCATATTGAAACACTGCCCTTCAATGAGGCCAAACTTAGATTCACAAAATGTTTAGGGGTATGTGTACCCCTGCGTCCCACCAGACAAAAAGGACTGGAAAGGGCCATGCTATGGAAGGGCTAAAGTGAAGAAATTAGATTGCAATCGAATTGATGGATTTGTCAGTTAATCAGTTTAAAGGCAGGTGGTTAATCAACTAGAAACTCCTTAATTAGCTGACAGCCCTAATTATTACTATTTGTGGGGTGCACACATATTCTGAGGAACACTGCTGTGTGATAAATGCCAACAAATTGGTAGCTACTGTGGTGATGAAAATTAATATATGCATACGGTTCATTATTAGGTTGCATGACAATGAGCAGTTGATTTAACTACTGGTGTTAAAGAGATGTGTAGCAAGGCTTGCGATGATAGTTTTTGAAGGGTTAGGTGACATTTTAAATTTTTGGTCCAACTTGTTTATAAGGATGATTGTCTATGTGTTGTGTTTTTCATGTTGGGAGCTGCATTACTGAGCTAATTCAAGAACTGCAGTCTGTAAAGATTTTTGCCAAACCACTCATGGATATTTCCATTCATGAAAAGAGAATCCAATAAAGTTGTAAAGCGCAATGCAGAATTAAAAAAAATACTAGATCACAGCTCTGTTAAGCCAAAGTACTTAACACCAGTGGAACTGAATGAGTCTAAATCTAGCAAATCCAGTTTAACTGGGTTATGGGATAAGAAATGAGCAATCTTTTTTTTCTCTTCATTTTTGGTAGCCCATTGTTCTCATTGTATTGTTCCCATTAGCATGCAATATTTAACAATTTCAAAGAAGCCAGGCATAGCTAAAAAGAAATGGAAGTACAAATTCCTTCCATATGTGAAGACATTTCTCAAAGATGGTCATCACCTGGCAGTACAAATAAAAAACAAAAATGCACTAGAGCAGTAGTATTGAACTGATGGATCATTTACATCAATTAAACCTATTTTGATCAATTTGAAAAAGTGACATGCCCCCAATTAATCAGACAGCAGATTTCCTTTTCCAAAAGTATTATTTTTAATAATAGCTTCTGATGGCCTGTATCATCTTAAAAGAATCAGCCCTCCTCTTCTCTCCCACACAGGATGGAAGGCCTCTTCTGTTATGATGCCTGCTGCTGCCCATGTGTGCATCATCTACTTTTTCATCTTCTGGATCATTGTCTTATTCATATGCAAATGCATGCTTTCAAACAACATGAAACAGCAGTTGTGGCTGGTCATTTCATTTTAGTGTTTATTTTTTTTTTCTATTTTTGTATAATTAAAGAAATTTGTGCCAGTTTTGTTCTGCTAGTAGCAGGAAATCTTTTCGTCAAAGTTTCAAATTTTATACAATCTATGGCCTTTTAAACTGAGAGAGGGGGATTTCTTATTATTATGTTATGTATCTTTGTGTTTTTATACTGTAAACTGCCCTGCGTCCTATAAATGCCAGTGAAAGTTACTTCCAAGTCAGTGCTTATAAAGGGTTAACAGTGTAGCACTAGTTTTTTTCAAAATGCAAGATGTACAAATTTGCTAGGAATCAGCCTAGTGAAAAGTTTGGACTTTGGATGCTCATGTTGCAGTGTGATCTTCAGATATGGAACAATAAAATTGTTGTTGTTGTTGTTAATTATTTATACCCCACCCATCTGGCTGGGCTTCCCCAGCCACTCTGGGCGGCTTCCAACAAAATATTAAAATACAGTAATGCATCAAACATTAAAAGCTTCCCTAAACAGGGCTGCCTTCAGATGCCTTCTAAAAGTCTGGTAGTTCTCTTTGACATCTGGTGGGAGGGAGTTCCACAGGGTGGGTGCCACTACCGAGAAGGCCCTCTGCCTGGTTCCCTGTAACTTGGCTTCTCGCAGTGAGGGAACTGCCAGAAGGCCCTCGGCGCTGGACCTCAGTGTCCAGGCAGAACGATGGGGGTGGAGACGCTCCTTCAGATATACTGGACCGTGGGT